CCCTCCCCGCCCCCCGCCCCCAGCCTTGGCCCCGAGGCGCTTTGTGTTTGTTACTGTTTGGTGTGTTGCACCCGCGAGGGGATCAGAGAGACAAGAATTACATCTTCAAAATGAGTCATAACTCCTGACCGTATGAGGGAATGCACACGGCAGTACAGTGAGACTGCTTGACTCAGGGCTAGGCGGACGCTTTCCTCCGAAAAGTCCTCAGCCCGGCTCGGGAACTTGGGGTGAGGCGAGGCTTTCTTTCGTTCTCATCTTTTCTCACCCCCCCCCCGGCCCCCCACATTTCCCAGAGGAAACAAACAAACAAACAACGTGAAACAGCCCCTGGATGAAGCACACTCGGGCAAATTGATAATAGTAATTATAGGAAGCCCACTCGCCCAGCGCCCCCTCCCCTCCCCTCTTGGAGTTTATCGAGGCACTGTCTCTTCCTCCCCCCCCACCCCCGCCCCCCAATTAAGATTTCCCGTTTTACGCCGCAATAAGAAATATAATTATAAGCCTCTCTGGACACTGTCCCTTCCCCCCAACCCCGCCACCCCGCCACTTTGACAATATTTACTTAAGTAGCCCCCCCCACCTCACTCACAAACATGCTCCCCCACACTGGTTCCCTTAAATAGTTCCAGCAGAAAAAAATTTTTTTTTCCCCTCAAGAAAGGAAAGAGAAAGTTCAACCACCACGGCAATACTTTTAAGCTCTACTAAATGATCGTATCCTTTCTGGCTTCGAAACTTTTGTACCTAAAAATCGAGAGAGGCGCTGCATTTTTTTTTCAGCTGAAACTGTCAAAACTTGGAGAAGGGGAACCTCAGAGGCAGGCAGGAGAGGAGGAGAATCCTGAAACTCGGTGGAGGCTGGGAAGATGCTGTGCCTCGAGGATTAGTTTAAACAGGGGGCTATAAAAGATGTAACAGATGCAAACTGTAACACAAGGGCCATTAACCCTTTCTCTGCCAAGCACACTCAGTCCCCACGCCTCGCACCTATTGTCTCTCCTGTGCTAGAAGCTTTGCAGAAAACCTGGAAAGTGAGTATCAGTTTCCACACGTTTGCTGAGAGGGGTGGGGTGGGGGTGGGGGCCAGAGAGAAGGGTAAGTGAATATTTTAGAAAGCACCTTCAATTTACCTAGGAATGTATAGCAGGAGACTTTTAATTCAACTTTGGCACATTTTATCATTTCTTGCCTGTCCTGTTGATTTGCAATTGTTGGGGGGGGGGGAGCGGAATCCTGAAATAAAGAGATGGTCACACAAGTGTCTGGGATGAAACAGCTGGCCTGTCTGTATTCATGCTGAGGCTTACACACCATTGCATATAAATACATGTTTAATAAAGTAAGTTGCTAGTTTTATGAGCATGTGTGTGTGAGGGGGAGAGGGCATTTCTGCTGTAAACTTTATCTTTGCCTCTTATTCCGACTCTGGAGTTAGTGATCTTACCCTCATCATTACAGGGGGAGCATGTAAAATATATAAGTAGGTGGGAGATAAACACATTCATGCTAGCCGAGAGCTCATCACTGTTCCTGGGAACTCTTGCTATCTCTCTCTTGACTTTTCAGTGCCAAAGTGTGGAATGGGGTCTGTGTGTGTATGTGTCTCCTATTACAGTCATGTCAATTATAGTTTGCCATCTAAAATACAATTTCAAAAGTTATCCTAATTTAAAATCCTGATATCCTGACAGCAGTTTTCTTCCCAGCTGTAGTGACCCCCCCCCCACTCTGGTAAACGACTCAAGTTCCATGAGGACTTTCACTTCTTTATTTATAATCACAGAAGTGAGGTGTTACTTCACACACGTACACACACAAAGAATGAAATAAAGAAATGAAACTCGCTAAGCAGACAAAAACAGACAACTTTCTGCTTAGAAAACAGCCTTCTCGGTAGGAGAGGATGGACTGCCATGTCTAAGAGAAAGATTTGCCCCTGAATTTGGTAGGTCTGTATCGACCAAGTTTTGTAATTATTAACAGGTATTTGCTAAGTTGTAATTGCTGAGTATAATGAATTGGAACTAGATGCAAAAATAGAGCAGGAGTTCTCCGCTTGATGAGCTTTTATTCCAGCCATATAGTTCTCAATAAAACTTTTCCTAGGCTGGGTAGCAAAGGGCACCTTTGGTTACCTGAATGGACAGGTACAGGGCAAATTATTTGGGGGAGGGAAAAAGGAGAGAAAAGGAAGGAGAGAGATCGAGAGTGCGAGAGAAAGCGAAGAAGCCACTCTTGGGAAAAGCTTGCCATAAAGGAGCTAACCCCACCTGAAATTCCTACCCACGGACACCCTTTCTCGCTCCAGACTCACATCCCCACTCAAAATGAGAAAATTAGAAAAGGAGGCTGGAGGACGAGCACACCAAAAAGGGATAAAAAGAGAGAAAAGGGGAGAAAAAAACCTACCTGCGAAGTCTTGTTTGTAGTTTTGGCCAGAAATGGTGAGAAGAAAAAGCATGAAGAAGCCGCGAAGTGTGGGGGAGAAAAAGGTGGAAGCGAAGAAACAGCTCCCGGAGCAAACTGTACAAAAACCTCGCCAAGAGTGTCGGGAGGCAGGACCGTTATTCCTGCGGAGCAGGTTAGAACTGATCTCTTTCGGCCACTCCAGGAAACACAAACCTGGGGACGGACTGACGTGTTACGCCTCTTCTAATGACATTTTTTTCTTTTTCTTTTCTGTAGGAGAGACCCTGAAACACGCGCCACCTATCTTTGTGGGGAGGGATAATTGAAGCGCCCTGAGCGTGAGCATCATGTGAAAACGTGATCGCCAAGTTTCTCTCTGGGAAAGGATCTGGGATAGATTATACCTTGAAGTCTCCGCAAACGCTTTAGTGGAAGAAATGAAATTCCACCTCCCTCCCTTCCTCTCTCCCTCCCTTTCGCCTCCCTCCCTCCCTTCTCCACGCCCCCCCCCCCCCTCCGCCAAGCCTTTGGCATCATTATCCTCATCACTAAATCCTACAGAGACAGAGTACAGGGCGGAAAACGGTGCACACCATTCATAGAACTGGAGAACTCCAAGGGGCGAAAGTTAAAGGGAAGGATCCCGGTCCTCAATCCAGATCGCCTGTCCTTATACAGATATCTCTAATGACCAGATTTGAGATGCACATCAAGTTGTGTGGATATCTCAGCATGGCTTCTGAAACTAAATTCTTTGCCCTTTCTCTCTCTTTTTTCTTTTTAGATGCCAGAGCCAGGAAGAAAAAAAAGAAAAAAAAAAAAAGGAAAAAAAAAAAAAAAGCTTCTTGTGAGCTGCATCTTAGGGCGTGTGTTAGGGTGTGTGTGTGTGTGTGTGTGTGTGTGTGTGTGTGTGTGTGTGTGTGATGAATTTCTGGATTGGATCCCAATATTAAAAAGTAGTTTGGCATTTTAATAAAGGGTCTCTAAGTACATTGACATAGAGCACTCGGTTGACCGATCTCTGAATCTCTCCACATCTCAGGAAGACCTCACTGCAAAGTGAGAGAGTGTGTGTAGGGAGGCAGGAGGAGAAAGGCCATAGAGAAACTTAGCAGGGAAGGGAAAGCATGGTATTAAACGGTATGGGGTCTAAGTTTTGGAGTATATATTTTTTGATATTGCAATTAAAGTAAAATTAAAAAGAAAAGACTCCACCTTTGCTCTGAAGGGATTGGTTATGCAAATATGGAAGGGATTTCCTGGAGAATACAGCTTTCTACTGTATGGTTAATTAAATAATCACTCAAAAGCTTCCAACGTGACGCTTCTGTCGTAATCCAATCAGGTTACATAGGTCCTAAACAAGAAAGATATTTTCCACATCTGGAAGTCAGCAATTTAGCAAGTACTGCACATTATTAACCAATTCAGAGCCCACTTCCCAGGGGAATTTTTTTGAAGTTTAAGTGTTCTTAACCAATGCTCTGCTGTTTTGTTAATCAAAAAGCTGGTTTACACTGTACATAATTGGAACTAATATAGAAGTAAATAAAGACAGCCAAATTTGAGAATGCTGAGCACAGGCATTTATCGGAAAAGGAAGAAATCTCTTATCCTCGGATGGTTCAGGCTCAATTTCTTAAAGAACTGTGAGGCTTTTTTTTTTTTTTAAAGAGTGAAAGTGCTTGAGAACCTCAGAGCACAAATAAACTTCCAGTCCCAGTCCCACAGTATTTGGGCTGCCTTAGAAAGGTAAAGGTGGAGGTGTGAAGAGGACCAAGGTGCAGCCTCACACCAATTTTCCTGCTTTAATATTGCTAAATATGTTACAACCCCCTGTTTCCAGTCTGATGAAATCTGAAACAAATAATACCCTGATCCAACACTATATTAAGATAAACTGCTTTGAACTGTGCTTTGAATCTGTGCCTAAAGCAAGACTTTGAATGCAAGAGTCACTGGCAATTGCACTCAAAGGAAGGACACGCCACCACATGGGTTGCCACATCCACACTCCCAGAGGTACATGTCTTTGTATTTTGTATGTTTATTTTTTTTGGGGGGGGGGAGGGTTAATAGCCACCCAGCATGACCACAGCTATATCTTGTTCTAGGCTGCAAGAAAGATTTTCACAGTTGGTTACAGACTCATCTCTTTCTGAATTTAAGTATTTATTACAATGAAAATAGCTGGGTAAATTAATGTCTCCCTCCACTCCTATCACAGATGAAGTAACCTATAGAAGAGGAGCATTCAGGGGATCTTCAGTCTAAAAATTATTAATAGAGAAAATCAAAGATTTCCAACATAGGTCAGGCAAATTCTTGATTTTATACTTTACATTTCTTTCACTATTACATATCTGTGCCTAATATATGAGTGAGTTAGCAAGTTCCTCCTCTGAGATATAGTACCACTGTTCATGTCCTTTTATTCTTCCTCCTTTTTTCCTCTTTTCTTATTCAAAAGATTGGAGTCCCGTTTTCTCTAGAAGTTGGCTTTTCAGCCGCCTCTCTCTCATTCCCAAGGAAGAAGGAGCCTATTGCTTGGACTGATTCTAGGAAGGACCCCTCACCTAGTGCCCAGGTAGCCACTGGAGGCTTAGAGCCCCCGAAACACACTCACAGGAATCACCTCAGGTCAAAGGATGCAATCGAACAGCTAACAAAACACTTGTCTTTATTATGTATATTAAATGTCAGGTTACTTAGGATCTGACTTTTTTTTTTAAAGACTCTTAAGTATGTCCATTAAAAACACCCAATCATCTGATTATCCTGGGCTCTATAATCGTTCAAGTGGCAAGAGGCTGTCCCCAACATTTTTGAGCATTGGGAGTTCCGACATGCAAGTATTTTATTTGGGGTTAAAAAAAAAACAAAAAACAAAAACCAATCTTCCAGGTTCCCATCAAGGAGGACGTTTGAATGGTGGCACGGGAAGGGTCTCTGCGAGGGGTGAACGTGTCTCTGGCTTGCTCCCCGCCCCTGTTCAGCACGCCCCTTCTCAGGCATTTGACCGAGAGAGTTCCCACCACCGCAGAAGTGGTGGGATCGGAGAAAGCCGGAATATAAATTTGTTCGCAACACTTCCTCCGTCCGTGGGCTAGGTCGGGGACAATGGGGATCGTGGGATCAGCGGGATGCAGGAGCGCTGGACGCAGGGAAAAAGTCTAGAGAGGACTGGGGGCTTCTGGCTTTCGGCTCCTCATACAGCCAAACAAGTCTTGCAAATGAATCGTTCCTTCCCTGTCTTCTCCATTAATAATCCACTTCGAGATTAGCGTAGACGAAAGGGATTAAAACAACAGATACACGCAAATGTGAAATAATATTGCCTTCGACATTGAAGGGGAAAAAGAATTCTTGAGGATTTCCTTGGGTAACGCAAACTGCCTCCCTCAGGATTCCCTCCCTCCAGGCAGGGTGAGAAGGATGCACTTTTGTGTTCCAATTCCCTCCAGCCAGGACCTGGTGCCTGTCCCCCCATTCACCTCTCAGTCTGTCAATTTCCTCAACTTTCACAGCCGCTGCGCTCCTCCCCCGCCCCCCGCTCCGCTGGCCGGCCCAGATGCCCGAAGAGATACAATGTTTCTGCCCTTGAACACACCAGCTGTAGAAGGGATTCGAATTTGGCCATAGCTAATGAATTTTTTTTTTCAAAAAAGCAAATTCTGTTTATTTTGTACCATGTGGAGAAAATAATTTTCAAAAAGGAGCCTCTATTCTCGTTTTCAAATGGAACTGATCTTTCATTTAGAGGAATTATATCGACCCTGTGTTGTTACGCAGGAGGTGGGCAACTTCTTTCAGAGTTGTAAGCAAAGGATGATAACGGGGACCCCTGGATTGGGTGTGTGTGGAGAGGGTGGGGGGCGACAGGGGTCCGAGCCAAGCCAAACGGTTTCCTCACGTGCAAACTCGCAATCCAATCCATTCGGAGTTGAGCCTAGGATAGGAGGGGAAAGTCTGTTTAAAAAAAAAAAAAAAAAAAAAAATCAGGAGCATCTCTCTAAGAAGCCCTTTCAAACAAAACCAAAACAGGACCAGAGAACCTCAGACCGTCCCTAACATCCCTGCTGCGAGACCCGCAGGCTGTGGAATCTCGCACGTCACCTGGCCCCAGCAGGGCGGCCAGCTGAGGGTTTTATTTTATTTTATTTTTTTAAAGTAAAGGTTGAATCTCGGCTTCAGAGCTTTTTTGCCAACGTCTCCACTGACGGGAACCAGCAAACTTCAGGACCCAAATGAGCATCTTAATTTATTGATGCTAAACAGGTCTGCTTGTTGTCCCCAATTTTCCGCGCGCTGCTCCCCCCTCTCCCCCCCAGCACCTCCCCCCACCCCGTCTCCGCCAGCTTGGGTCCCTCCATTTGATCTCAGGGAAGAACCGCGCGGCACAGGCAGAGGAGCACGTAGGGAGGGGGTCGGCC